GTCTGTTTGGGATGCCTGGCTTTATGGAGAGATGTGGGGCTGGTCCAAATAGCCTTTCTGTCGGTACTTCTGAGGGAGAAGAGAAGGTGAGGGGGAGCCAAAGAGAAAGAGAACACGCCAAACAGATCATTATGTGTTCTTGGAAGCCAGTTTAATGGACTGGCTCAAAGCAGGGCTGGGAACGGGCTCTGAGGCCCTCAGTCAGGACGTGGCTGGGGCAGAGAGCCACAATCACTTCTACCAAACGGAGACGCCTTGTGGAAACTTTGTTCTTTGAGACTCAGAAGCACAAATATCACGTGTTTTCTCTCGGATGCAGAGTCTTGATTTAAATATATCCGTGAAAAATAGAAGGGAGACTGTGATGGGAGAGGAAGAAAGGGTAATGGGGGAAAGAAGACAATGTGACATTTTTCCTTCATATGAAACCTAAGGGTGTGTGTGTGTGTGTGTGTGTGTGTGTGTGTGTACGCACACACATGTAAAACAGGAAAGCAGAAGGTGAACTATTTGTGGGCAGGATGGGACTGGCAAGGGGCGAGGAACAGGGGTAGGGGAGAATATTGGGGTGGTGAAAATATAAGCCAAAAACTACGATACATATGTGTGAAAAGGTCCTAATGAAATGATTTTATGTACTAAAAATGTAAGAGAAAAGAGGAAGGGAGGAGAGGAGGGGAAGAAGAAAGAGGTTGGTTCTGTTTGAGATCAGAATGCTTGTCCCTGATTATTCTAGCCATTTTTCTCATCGATTTGGAAGCACTAGAAGGAAAATTAAAAGGCACAAACTGACTACCGTGTGCCAGGAACGAAGTCAGCGCTTCTATCGTCCTAGGACTCCCAGGTTACCCTTTGAAGAGGGGGACATGGAGGCCTGCACTGCATAAGCAGCTGGGGCACTTTCCAAGCATAGAGACCGTCTCTTTACGAGGCTTTTTTTTTTTTTTGCCACACATCTCACCACCGCCCTCAAGCCAAAATTCCCCTTGTTTTCACAGGATAAACATTCCCATGGCAGAGGAACACTGTGTTCCCTAGAGGAGATGCAAGCACCTCGTTCCCGCAGAGGCCGTGTGGGCTTATGAAACCGAGTGCTGAGCCGAGGTCCTGGACAGGAGCCTAGGGCTCAGCACCAGCTCTGCAGACCTCAGCTGGGTCCCAGGTTGAGGGCTGGGTGGAATCCTGACATTGCATACCGCTAGTGCTGTGGGTCTCGTCTCCGTTAGATACCACAGTGAAAGGGGAACTTCTCTGGCAAGTACAGAGGGCGCTACTGAAGGTGCCTGAGGAAGCATTGCTCTCTGGTGTTCTGCACCTTGACTTTCTAGAACCCTGTCGGCATTCTGCAGGGTTTGGGGCAGAAAAGAAAGCAGCGTCTTTGGAGAGTAGAGCTTCCCTTACATGACCATCAATCAAGATGCATATAAAAAGTTTGATTGGCAGGATTTTTTTTCTCTTGGTGGTATACAAAATGAACAATACATACCTTATAGTTGATAGCATCTTAGAGTCAATAAGATATAAGGTTTTAAAAAACAAGCATCGTCATTATTCTTCAATGAGACCATTGGTGGACTTTGCATGGATCTTTTCAAAACATCCTTAGTCCACCCAGATGCATGGATGGTTCTCATGTCTGGATATCTGTCTCCCTTGCTATTGTTTCCCTTGAAAAGTTTACCGAGGGCCCAGAGATGCAGTATCAACTTTGGGCCACTAGAGGGGGCGAGAACATTGGGGGACAGATGCCCAGTCTCCTAGCGCTGTGGCTTCTGCTTTCTCCTAAATCTTTCCAGTATGCCCCTCTACAACAGCCTGTCCACCCCTCACTAGAACCCCGCCTGCAGGGTCAGATCAGGAGAGGGACCCCGTTCCACATGGACAACACGGTCGACGTGGGCTGAATTCTACATTTGCAGAGCCATATAAAACTCAGTCCTAGCTTAATGAGCTGATCTCGCGAGCAGAAAAAGGTACTAGTCATGGCTAGGGCTCTGCGTGCTACAAAGGCAGAGCTGAGGGGTGGCCGGCCACCTTATTCATCAGCTATTCGGAGACTCCCAGGATCCACAAGGATTTGTGAAGCTTTCTAAAGAAATGTATTCACTTTTGCTGTCACCTGGAGCCTTCCTTAAAATCCCTTCCTCTTTCTTCTTTCCTTCCCTCTGTCGATTCCCCCTGCCCTTCTTCTTTTCCTCTCTACACTTAGTGGGAATTATTGAATACTCACTATATGCGAAGAACCATGCCAGGAGCAGAGAGGTCAAAGTAAGGAGAACCAATCACTGTCTTTATGAATCTTGGTTCTGGGAGATTTAGACAAAATTTACAAATCAGCTGCAAGGAAAGATAGTGGCTTCCTAGCAGTGCCTGTTTCTATATAAAACTTTGCAGATCCTCTTGGGTCTCAGAGATCCCCAACAGACTTAGAGTGGCCACTCCCAGCTGTGCCTTCAGGAGGTAGATCCTCCTTGTCACGAGCAGGGGCTGTATCCAGGAAGGCTTCTCTAGCAAGGTAACTGAAACAAACCCCACCCAAAACTGAAGGACCAAGCTTCCAAACCCCAGGCCTGCCTTCTCAATGCCGCCACAACAGAAGGAAAGCAACACCATCCACTAACCAACAAAAGCCTATGTGGAGCCTAGAGCCACGGGCCAGAGATGCTTGGAACAGCTCAATCTGTGGGAATGCATAGCATAGCATAGAGCCCTGCTTGTGCGCTAAAGATGTGAGTTTTGTTCTGAAGGCATCTGAAGTTGTTTTGAGGGAGGAGGGCCATAGGTTCACTTGCTCAGATTTTGTTATTGAGAATGACCTCCAGCTGGCCTGATCCTGATAATATAACCCAAGGTCAAAGCTGCGGGGCTCCTTCTGCCTCAATCTCGCACGTGCCAGGATTGCAAGAGTGCATCACCATGCCCAGCTTCATTGAGGCTTTAAGTATGGAACCATCTTTGGTGGGTTGGCACTTTCTTATGAAACCGTATAGACCATGACTTGGAGAATCAAGAGGCTAGCAGACATGTCCAGGTGGTTACAACCAGAGAAGAGGCAGAAGACGATGAGGGCAAGCTGATAGTGGCTGTCACCATAATACTATTTTTTTGGAGGACAGAATTGCTAAGTTTGGAGAGTGACAGAGGAGGGACCAGTAAGTCCGACTCCAGGCTTTTCTATGAGATGACTGAAAATGAGAAATCTTTCAATGGGGGCCCTTGAGAAGGAAAGTAGGGTCTGGAAAAGCTGGGGTTTCGCTACACAAGCATGAGAGAGGAACAAGAGAGTCAAAGAGGTAAGTGACCGGCCATGACACCTAACTTGGTCACTAAGGAAAGGGATGACAGCTGGCTGGTGGAGCCAGTGGGTCAGAGGTCTCTAGAAAGTCAGAGGGCTGGGTCATAAGGGGAACTTGGGCAAGTGAGTTGAAAGAACAAGAGAGAGGCGCCAGAAGAGAGGTACGACTTTGAGAGTTCACATGGCAATAATTGCAAATCCACGCTTTGACTGTGGCGACTGTGACTGGAGAGAATAAATGGAAAGAACTGCCAAAGATGAGCAGCCAGAGAAGGAGCAACGGGCATCGAATTAGCGTCAGGAGGAAGATGGTTTTGCTGAGGAAGGCTTTAGATGCCAGGAAGTTAGTAAGAGCAGTGAGCAGCTAGAGAGGAGATGCGCAGTGTGAGCCACAGGGAAGATGGCTACGGTGCACACAAGGGGAACGGTCGTCTGGAAGCAACTGTAGAGGGTGAGGATGAAAATAACCAGGGAAATGATGCTGATGCAAGGACAGACATGTCTTGATCCCTTCCAGAAGGGACTTGTGCAAACTGTGCACCTGTGATAGCAAGTGTGTGGAGGGTGGTAGCACACGTGTTAGAGATCTGCAGTCTGTGTCCTGAGAAGATGTCCTAAAACTCGGATGAGGCAATGAAGAGCAATGGGGAAAAGCTAAAAAATACCGAGAGGCGACTGTGTACAGGTTAGCCACTCTCAGAATACAGGAAAGTAATAAAGACGTGCAGAAGGTTGAGGATGTCAAATAAGAATAGATAGAATAATTGAATGGGAGAGAGAGATGTTATGTGTGCCATTACCAGAGGCAGCACGATAAAACAAGAAACTGGAGGGCTCCAGCAAAGGGCGTTCCTGGAGCAAACCACAGCACAGCCCTGGCCTTAGCAGAGAAGGAGAAAGGAGGCCCACATGGGAGGGAAAGACCTTCCTCTAGGCTGTCCACAGCTTCCGATAGAGCATGCCAGGGCTTTGTCTCTGTGTCGCTCCGAGGAAGGACAAAAAGAAAGAGACAAGAACAGTCACAGGGGACACGGGGGAAAGAAGGGGAATTAGAGGCCAACTGAACCAACATGGTTTCCCTGGCAACACAGAAAATGAGTTCCTTTTAGACCCCACTGCTGGATTCTGCCAGGGTAAACAGAAATCGCCAGCTGACTACCACATAGAGATAGCACAATGGACAACATGAATGCTGGGGAAATATATATAAATATATATTTATATAGAGACATATATATAATATATATATATAAATGATAAAAAGAAAAGAGACATGGCCTACATTCAGGTAAACCTTTACAACACAAAAGGACTTTGTTCTGGACATGGAAGAATAGGAGTATTTTTAAGGTAACACTGTTGTGGATGGAGGGTTAGCCTCAGAATCTTCTGGAAGCACTGGCTATAGGCACACGAAGCCCTACCTGGGTCTGCGGATCTAACTCAATTGATAGAGTGTTTTACTAGCACCCTCAAAACATTGGATCATAATCCTACCATCTCACAGCTCAAAGGGTAGACTCAGGAAGATTCGACCCTTGGCCAAGTTCAAAGCCATCTCAAAATTTATTTATATTCCATTTATGTCGCTGCTCACCCCTCTAGGTCAAATGCAAAGCCTCCTCATGTGACTGCCTGACCTCAGCCAAATCCCCTGTGCCCATCCTCATCCATCTGTCCTTTCTCATGCTCTCTTTCCAGGAAGATGAGTGACCACCCGCTGAAGGAGATGTCTGAAAGCAACAGGAGCCCTCTCCTGCCAGGGCCTCTTTCCAGCAGATACAAACTATATGAGTCAGAACTAAGCAGCCCTACCTGGCCTTCCAGCCCCCAGGATACACACCCAGCCCTTCCCTTGCTGGAAATGCCTGAGGAAAAGGTGAGAGTGACCCCATCCCCCCGCTAAGATAGTTCTTGAGCAGTCAATCAGAGAGCAAGGGGGTAAAAGATGATTTCAGTTCTGGTATATTTCCATATGGATTTTAGGATTGTAGTTTCCATTTCTAAAGGAAAAGAAAAGATGACAAGCTTTGATGGGAATTATATTAAATCTATAGATAAATTTGAGAACTATTTCCATTGTAATAAGACTAAATTTTCCAATCCATGAACATGGGCTATCTTTCTGTCTATTTTGAGGTTTATTTTCTTTTATGGAGTTTTCAATGGGTAGCATTTGCACATTTTTTAATTTATTCACAAATATATTCTACTTTTTATTCTATCATGAATAAAATTATTTTATTAATTTTAATTTTAGATTTTTAAATGTCATGGCATAAAGATAAATTTGATTTGTAGCTCTATTCTGTAACTTTGCTAAACTTATTCAGACTTCTAATAAGATCTTTGCAGGTACCTTAAGAATTTTCTATACAAAATGCAGGTAGAGATACAATCTATGTTTAACCTTTTTCTTTATGATCTGTTCCTTTTGTCCCCTTTTCTTTCTGGTTTGCTTGTGCTAGAACACAATGTTGAATAGTCACGGCAAGAGCAGACGTCTTTGTTTTGTGCTTGATCTTAGAGAGAAAGAGAGAGATTTCTATTACTCCGGGTCTTTAGTAGATGTCCTTCATCAAACTTAGAAACTTTTAATCTATTCCTAGTTCATTGAGAACCAGCCACATTTCAAATGCTCACTAGGTGCTTGTCTTAAGAACTACCTTGTCGAAAAACACGACTTTAAAGAAAGAAGTCTTGGCCAAGCTCTCCACAGGTGCAATTGAGGAGCAGATGAACTGGGGCGAGGGAAATAATCCATCATTATATCTACCAGTCCCCAATGGACTTTAGCATTTACCTCAATTACAAACAATATAAGCCATGAGTGGTAGTCACATTAGTAGTGCCTGAGACTTCGATTCAAGCTGTCACAGGCCAGATTCCCCAGGAGCTGGACTTTGACATAAAGATTTACAAGAAAGAAGTTTCCTGGGCTGTGCCTTGGGGAGCCACACTTACAGATGAGGAAGGGCAGCAGGACTAGGCCACAGGAGAAACTGAGCTATGCAATGGCCATAATAAAGACCATGGTTGCTCTTGTGATGGGCTTTGGATCTGAGATAGCCTGAGACAGCCTGAGCTACAGAACTGCCCTGAGCTGGAGGGAGAAGGTCCCACATACCCACACATCACTGATTTTAAACTTTATAGCCATTAGATAGAATGTTTACCTATGGATCACAAGTATTTTAAATACTATAATCACTGCATTTCAATATAATTTTTTGTACTTATTTAGTTTTAAACATTTCTAACTATTTATTATGGAAAGAGGTCTATAGGCATCATTAAACTGCCAAGAGGAACCCCTTGTCACAAATCATTCAGCAAACCTCTTGTGCAGAGCCTGAAATAG